ACAATATTTTTAAAAATTGATCCACAAACCACACACAGATGGGGTCTTGCTGTGTCTTCCAGATTGGTTTCAAACTCCTGGGCTCAAGGAATCCTCCTGCCTCCACCTCCCAAATAGGTGGGATTATAGACACATGCCACCACACCAGGCTGCAATTGTATTTTAAGCATATCTTTTATTGATAGCATATATTTGCATTTAGTGTTTTTTAAATCTCATCTGAAAGTACTTAATTGGTGAGTTTCTGTCAATCAATTATTGCTTTACAGATAGATTTAGTCTGGTCATCCTTTGCTGTTTCAGATTGCTTTTTAAATACTCCCTTATTGTTTTTCTTGTTTTCTGTCATTTGCTTTCTGGCTTGTGTTTTGTTTGTTGCTTTTCCCCACTCCTAACAATTTGAAAAATGTAATTGTGCACAACACACAATTTACCCATGTATCAAACCTGCAGATGTACCCACTGAACATAAAAAAAAGTTGCAAAGAAAAAAATGTATAATTTTTCAAAACTATTATTTTACTTTTTTTTTGGTTTTGTTTCTTTTCTTTTTTCTTTCCCCCCTCGCTAAAGACAAGACCTCTGCCAATCACCCGGGCTGGAGTGGAGTGGCTCAGTCACAGCTCACTGTTGCCTGGAACTCCTGGGCTCAAGCAACCCTCCCTCTTCAGTTTCCTGAGTAGCTGGCCTATTTTTTAACTTTTAAATAAATATGCTTATGCCTGTGCAATTCCAAAAGTCACTACTTTTAGAGACCAAGAGAACAATCAGAGAGAAAACAAATAGGGATATTGAAGATCTAAAAAATACAATTAATAAATTTGATCTATTAGATATAATTGAACTCCACATCCAACAGAGAATTCATATGCTTTTTAAGCACTAGAACACTAAATTGGCCTAAAAGGAACTGTAATAAATGTCACAGAATCAATATCATATAGACTAAAATTAGAAGTGAATAATAAAAATAAGGCTGAAAAGCACATGACTCTTATAATTTGCTGGCTCTACTGTCCCTTCTGATCTCTCCTACCTGCTCCTCCCTCCTGGAGTGCTGGATGGCTCTGGGAAACTGGAAATTTTTACTCTACACGGCAATTCAGTTCTCCAAAATTTCCTCTCAAACTCAGCTCCCAAAACAACCGTCCTCATTGAGAGCCCATCCATGTGCCCAGCGAAACAAAAGGATCATCTTCTGATTTACCAGGATCCGCCTTCCTAAGAAGCTTTTATTTATTTTTATTTTTATTTATTTATTTATGTTGAGACGGAGTCTTGCTCTGTCATCCAGGCTGCAGAGCAGTGGCATGATCTTGGCTCACTGCAACCTCTGCCTCCTGGGTTCAAGCCATTCTCCCACCTCTACCTCCTGAGTAGATGAGATTACAGGCGTCCGCCACTGGGCTAATTGTTTTTGTATTTTTAGTAGAGATGGGATTTCGCCATGTTGGCCAGGCTGGTCACTAACTCCCGATCTCAAGTGATCTGCCCACCTCAGTCTCCCAAACTGCTGGGATTGTAGGCATGAGCCACCACGCCCAGCCCTAAAAAGATTTTAATGGTAACTTACACACTAGTAAGCAGTATCTATTGACCTTCCTTTTCCACTTCCATGAAAAAGAAATAAATCAGCTAAAAACACTGTGGTAATTCCCCCCTGCTCTTTCCCTTCCCCGCTCCACCTTTTGGGCATTTTTTGTTGTTTTTGTTCCTTTCTTTTTTTTTTTTTTTTTTGAGACGGAGTCTGGCGCTGTCGCCCGGGCTGGAGTGAAGTGGCCAGATCTCAGCTCACTGTAAGCTCCGCCCCCCGGGTTTACGCCATTCTCCTGCCTCAGCCTCCCGAGTAGCTGGGACTACAGGCGCCCGCCACCTCGCCTGGCTACTTTTTTGTATTTTTTAGTAGAGACGGAGTTTCACCGTGCTGGCCAGGATGGTCTCGATCTCCTGACCTCGTGATCCGCCCATCTCGGCCTCCCAACGTGCTGGGATTACAGGCTTGAGTCACTGCGCCTGGCTTTTGTTCCTTTTTTAAGTCAACAAATATTTCTTGAGCCCCTGCTGTGTGCCGGGCACAGTGGTGGAAGCTGAAGATGTGGAGGTCAACCAGGCAGCTGTGGTTCCTGCTCTCCTGGAGCTTACAGTCTATCAGGGAGAGAGACACAAACACAAATAATCACGCAAATGAGTGTAACATTGCCCCCGTGGATAGTGATGAGAGCCTGTGGTAAGGAGATTTTACTATTAAACACAGTTATTCAATGATACTTGTTAAAGCATGGCAAGGAAGACTTTATTCAAGACCATCACAATAGGCATAGGGACCACTAGTGGGATTTTGCAATGGGGGAAAGAGCCTGGGCTCAATTCTGAATACAGCATGGGCAAGTGGGAATTTATCGCCAAGAAGCAGGGTGGGGTCAGTGGATGGTAAATGACTAAGAGCAAACATTGAGGATAAGGGATCATTCTGGCTAAACCAACCTCAAAGGATTCTTGCTACAGTCAGTCCAGGTGATTAGCTATCACCTGGGGGATAGGGCAGGATGAGAAACCCAATCAGATATCAAGGGTGATCGTGATCAGCTATCCAAGGGAGGTGTTCTTGCTGAACTGACTTAGCAAGATTCCTTGCTAAAACTAAATTTTACAAGGAAGTGCACAGGTAGGCCTAGGAGAAAGTTCAGGAGCCTGACTAAAGTTTAGTCAAGCAAAGAATCTTTGTCACTGCCTGGCCAGGGAGTCCAGGGAAGGCTGGACTGTTAGAGGGATGCTGTGGTGATGTCAGTGGTGGGGTAGGAGTTACCTTGGCAAAGAGGAGGGAAGAGTGTGCTGGGAGGACGCAACAGCAGGTGCAAAGCCCTTGTGGCAGGAAGGGGCAAGGCAAATGTGAGGGACTGAAAGGAAGCAGTCTGCCTGGGTCATTGTGAGACCGGGAGAGGCTGCAGAGGTGGGCCAGCACCAGGCCACGTGGCCTGGCAGGTCAGGCTGGGGACGGCTGCCCTGATTCTAAGAGCTGTGAAAAACCATTACGATTATTTTGCTTTTGTTTTTATTTGTGTTGTTAAATATAACATGAATTTAGAAAATCATATCAAGCAAATGTACCATTTAATGAATTACTATAAAGTAAACATCACAGATGGGAGGAAACTAAGGAGACACGATGACTAAATGCAGTATGGGATCCTGGATTGGATCTTGGAACAGAAAAAAAATTAATGGGAAAACTGGTTAAATCTGAATAAAGTCTGTCGTCTAGTTAATTGTATTGTACCAAATGTTGGTTTCTTAGTTTGGACAAAAAAAAAAAAAAAAAAAAAAAGAAGTAGGGAAAAAGTATTATGTACTAGTAAAATGTTAACATGAAGGGAAGCTGAGTGAAGAGTATATGGGAACTTTCTGTACTATCTTTGTAACTTTCTGTAAATTTAAAATTATTCCAAAATAAAAAATAATTTAAGCTGACAAATACCAAAAACATACTCAAATCCAGAAAATAATGTAATTTAAAAATTAACTGCCTTACCTACTTCTGCAGTACTTTTTCTCTACTTTTTTGGGTTTCATTCAATCAAGTCTTTTTTTTTTTTTTTTTTTTTTTTCAGATGGAGTTTTGCTCTTGTCGCCCAGGCTGGAATGCAGTGGCACAATCTTGGCTCACTTCTGCCTTAGCCTCCTAAGTAACTGGGATTACAGGTGTCCGCCACCACACTGGCTAATTCTTTGTATTTTTAGTAGAGATGGGGTTTCACCACGTTGGCCAGGCTGGTCTTGAACTACTGACCTCAGGTGATCCAACTGCCTCATCCTCCCAAAGCGCTGGGATTACAGGTGTGAGCCACTGCGCCTGCCCTTGATCATGTCTTATATAACAATGACTTTGTAATATTTTGTAAAGTTAGAATAAAAAGTAATTTAGTCTTTTTTTTTAAAATACAGATAAAACCAAAAGATAGTGTTTAGGGCTTGCACTTGGGAGATGTGTTAGACAGTGACACGCACAGCCCAGGTCTCCTCAAAGGCAGATATATCTTCTTAGTTTCCTCTTGTTAATGATAGTTTCTTGGTCTTTCCTTGTGTCTCATGATCTTGACACTTTTGAACGGTACTGATCGGGTATCTTGAAGAATGTCCTTCAATTTGGATATGTCTGATGTTTTTCTCTTGATTAGAAAGCAGCTATGGGTTTTTGGAAAGGCACAGAGGTGATGTGCTTTTTTTTTTTTTTGACAGTCTCACTCTGTCACCCAGGCTGGAGTGCAGTGGCGCGATATCAGTTCAGTGCAACCTCCGCCTCCTGGGTTCAAGCAATTCTCCTATCTCAACCTCCTGAGTAGCTGGGATTACAGGCACCCACCACCATGGCCAACTAATTTTTCTGTATTTTTAGTAGAGATGGGGTTTTGCCATGTTGGCCAGGCTGGTACTGACCTCAAGTGATCCGCCCGCCTAGGCCTCCCAAGTGTTGGGATTACAGGTGTGAGCCACTGTGCCTGATATGCCTTTCTCATGGCTGCATATCGGGGGTACCTGCAGTCCATGGGACTTATCACTGGTGATGTTAATCTGGACCACTTGATGAAGGTGGGGCCTGCCAGGTTTTGCCATTGTAAAATTGTAAAATTGCTGGTTTTCATACTCTGTGCTTTGAAGGTGAGTCTCTGAGTCCAGCCCACATTCAAGGAAAGGGGAATTAAACTCCACCTCTTGGCCGGTGGGGGTAAGGGGGGGCAGTTTCAACATATATTACTTAGAATTCTGTAAGGCAGATTTTTCTCTTTTCTCTCATTTACCTTATTTGTTCAATCATTTATTGGTATCACTATAGATACATGAGTATTTATTTTATTTCATGGGTTATAATCCAATATGATTGTAATTTATTTTGTGGCTTAAATTGTTCCAGCTCTGACCATTGGGAGCTTGTTTCTGGTTGGCTCCTGTATTCTGCTGACATAGTGCACCTTCCTCACCTCCCTTTCTTCCCTGATGATTTCCTTACTTTTTGGCATTACAAAATGATCCAGGCTAATCTTGTGTTTTCTCTGCCCTAGTCCTATAATCAGACATTTCTCTAAGGAGCCTGGTTCTTTGTATTGGAGGATGGTAGTTAGGAACCATAATCTGAGTGCTAGACGTGCTCATTGCTACTGAGGTATTTACCTATTTAAAAAACTGTGTTTTTCAAGTTTTAAGGCTCCTTTTCTATCTTCTAGCTCTTCCTTTTTTTTTTTTTTTTTTTTTTTTTTTTTTTTTTTTTTTTTGCAATTTGTTGAAAAAACCTGGATTGTTTGTCCTATGGTTTCCCGTAGTCTGAATTTTGCTGATCATCCCTATGTTATTGGTTTAATGATTTTCTCTGTCCCATATATTTCCTGTAAATTTATATATAGTTGGATATAGAGGCTTGATCAGATTCTGGTTAAATTGGGGGGTGGGGCAAGACTACCTCATAGATGGTGGTGTATTCTTCCATCAGCAGGCACACAGTTCCTAGTTATCTCTTTTAGTCAACAGCCACTGACAATCACTGCTTAGATCCATTAATTCATTATGGGCTATGAAATGGTGCTATTCCAACTCAATTATTCCTTCATCATTCATTTTCTGAAACACTTCTATATTTCAAATATTTGTCTTGTTATTCTTATTGGTGCTGAATTTGTTGTGCCTTTGTCCAGTGGAAGCATCTTGAGTTGGCTCTGGAATCCTTTTGATGCAATCCTGGTGGTCTTTAATGGCTTTCCTTCAATATGGCATCTGGGAAGCAGGAAAGAGGTAATGCCCTCTGCAGCTTCTAGGTGGCAATACTTCCTTCCCTTGGGAAAAAAAAAAAACAAAACAACCCACTAAGTTTCTGGTTAGGGCCTTCAGAGATTCACCAAGAGAAGGAATAAAGGAGAGGGAGCAGGTGGGGATGGGGAAGATAATGAGTTCAACTTACAATTTTTTTTTTTTTTTGGAGACGGAGTCTCACTCTGTTACCCAGGCTGGAGTGCAGTGGCACAATCTCGGCTCACTGCAAGCTCCGCCTCCTGGGTTCACACCATTCTCCTGCCTCAGCCTCCTGAGTAGCTGGGACCACAGGCGCCTGCCACCGTGCCTGGCTAGATTTTTGTATTTTTTTTTTTAGTAGAGACGGGGTTTCACTGTGTTGGCCAGGATGGTCTCCATCTCCTGACCCGTGATCAGCCCGCCTCGGCCTCCCAAAATGCTGGGATTAGAGCCACTGCATCCGGCCTCAACTTATAATTTTGTTATGGGCTGAATTGTGTGCCCTCAAAATTCATATATTGAAATCCTAACTCCAGTTCCCCAGAAGCCCCAGAATGTGACTATACTTGGAGATAGGGGCTCCTTTTTTTTTTTTTTTTTTTCTTTAAGACAGAGTCTTACTCTTCCAGGCTGAAATACAGTGGCACAATCTTGGCTCACTGCAACCTCAAACTCTTGGGCTCAAGCAATGAACATAGAGTCTTTTTTCTTTTCTTTTTCTGAGACAGAGTCTCACTCTGTTGCCCAGGCTGGAGTGCAATGGCGTGATCTTGGCTCACTGCAATCTCCACCTCCTGGGTTCAGGTGATTCTCCTGCCTCAGCCTCCTGAGTAGCTGGGATTATAGGCATGCACCATCATGCCCAGCTAATTTTTGTACTTTTAGTAGAGATGGGGTTTCACCATGTTGGCCACACTGGTCTTGAACTCCTGACCTCAAGTGGTCCACCTGCCTCGACCTCCCAAAGTGCCAGGATTACAGGTGTGAGCCACTGCACCCGGCCTGAACATACAGTCTTTAAAGAAGTGATTAGGGTAAAATAAGGTCACATTAATGGGGCCTAATTCAATATGACTGGTGTCTTTGCAAGAAAAGGAGGCTAGAGCTGAGAGTGGTGACTGAGAGGTAATCCCAGCACTTTGGGAGGCTGAGGCTGGAGGATTACTTGAAGCCAGGTGTGCAAGACCAACCCAGTCAGCATATTGAGACTTCAGTCTCTACAAAGGTAAAAAATTAGCCAGGTGTGGTGGTGCATACCTATAGTACCAGCTACCTGAGAGGCTGAGGAGAGATCACCTGAGCCCAGAAATTCAAGGCTGCAGTGAGCTATGATTGTGCCACTGCACTGTAGCCTGGGCAACAGAGCAAAACCCTGCCTCTAAAAATAAATACATAAATTTTAAAAAGATAACAGGAGATAGGACATAATCAATACACAGACTGAGAAACAACCATATGAGATCACATAAGAAGGTGGCCATCTGCAAGCCAAGGAGAGAGGCCTCAGAAGAAACTAAACCTGCCAACACCTTGATCTTAAACTTCCAGCCTCCAGAACTGTGAAAAAATACATTTCTGCTGTTTAGTCACCAGTCTGTGATATTTTGTTATGGCAGCCCTACAAACTAATAAAATTTGTAGAATTTGAAAGTATGTGTGGGTATACAATAAATACGTGCAATTTCATATGTCAACTTAAAAATAAATAAATTTGAAAAAGGTATGTATGGGATGTTTTCATGGCATTTGTAAGTGTTTATCTGAGGTTCAGGAAAGAGGACTGGGCTGGAAGTAGACATACGGGAGGTGAGAACATTTACAGAATGAATAAAGCCGCATGTGTAAAAGGGAATCTTTAGGGAAAATCTAAGGAGTAAAATGAGAAGAGGGATGAGAAATAAACCAACATTAAGAATTTGGAAGCTTGGCATGGTGGCTCACGCCTATAATTCCAGCACTTTGGGAGATCAAAGTGGGCAGATAGCTTGAGCCAAGGAGTTCAAGACCAGCCTGGGCAACATGGTGAAGTCTGGTCTCTACAAAATATATGAAAATTACCCAGGTGTGGTGGCATGCGCCTGTGGTCCCAGATACTCAGAAGGCTGAGGCTCAGGATCGCTTGAGCCCTGGAGGTTGAGACTGCAGTGAGCCATAATCGCACCACTGCACTCCAACCTGGGTAACCCCCTGCTTTGGGGGAAAAAAAATTGGGGAAAGGAAGAGAAGCCCCCTGAAGGAGACCCAGAAGGTATAAGGGAGAGGCAGAGCAAAGGCATGAAAGAGTGGGGTCCCAGAGGCAGAGAATGGGTTTGAGGGAGTTTGGGGGAAGGAAATGGTTAACTACCACATGCGGAGGGGAGGTTAAGATAAGGACTGAAGGAGGGCCTGGGATTTTGCAATTATGAATGCAAGAACAACAGGGTAGAAGGATGGAGAGCCAGGCTGCTGTGGAGTTGGGTATAAATGGGGCAGTAAGTGGATAAAGGCAGGGGAAGTCAATCATATTTAGGAAACATCTCAGAAAGAAGGACATGGTACTGGCAGTATTGAAAGGGTGTTGTGGTTTTCTGGCTTTATTGGGAAGGACATGAGCATATTTATATGATGAGAGGAGGAAATAGTGGATGAGAGGTACAGAAATGAAGGGGAGGATAGAACCCTGGACTGCCTCAAAGCAGAGTAAGGAAAATTAAGCACTCAGGAACAACTCTTCCTCTGAGATGCAAAAAAATGTAGTTGGAGATTGTAGATTTGGGGTAAGAACCTGGGGATGAATATTCATGTTCAACTTTTTGTGTGGACGCATGTTTTCATTTCTCTTGGATTTATATCTAGGAGTGTGAAATGGCTGGGTCATATGGTTACTACATGTTTAACAATTGAGAATCTGTCGAACTGTTTTCCAAAGTGTCTGCATTGTTTTACATTCCTACCAGCAGTGAATGAGTTTCCAGTGTCTCCACATCCGGAAAACACTTGTCATCTGTCTTTTTATTATATCCATTCTATTTGGTATGAAGTGATATCTCATTGTGATTTTGATTTACATTTATCTAATGGCTAGTGGTTTTGGTGTCTTTTCATGTGCATGTTGGCCATTTGTATATCTTTGCAGAGAATTATGTATTCAAATCATGCTCCCATTTTAAAACTGGGTTGTCTTTATTGTTTTTCTTTTGTTTTTGTAGAGAAAAGTCCTCACTCTGTTGGCCAGGCTGGAGTGCAGTGGCAAGTTCATAGCCTACTGCAGCCTCAAATTCCTAGGGCTCAAGGGATCCTCCTGCCTCAGTCTTCCAAGTAGCTAGGACTACAGGTGAGTGCCACCATGCCTGACTAGTTAAGAAAAAAATGTTTTTTGGAGAGATGAGGTGTTGTTATGCCCAGGCTGGTCTCAAATTCCTGGACTCAAGCAATCCTCTTGCCTTGGCCTCCCAAAGCATTGGGACTACAGGTGTGAACCACTGTGCCTAGTCTGTCTTTTTATTGTTGAATTATAAGAGTTCTTTATACATTCTGGATACTAGTTCCTTATGAGATATATGATTTGTAAATACTTTCATCCTGTGGAGTGTCTTTGCACTTTTTTTGATGGTGTTCTTTGAAGCCTAAAAGTTTTAAATTTAGATGGAATCCATTATTTTTATTTTATTTCATTTATTTTGAAATGGAGTCTTACTCTGTTGCTCAGGCTGGAGTGCAGTGGCATGATCTTGGCTCACTGTAACTGCTGCCTCCCAGGTTCAAGCAATTCTCCTGCCTCTGCCTCCCGAGTAGCTGGGACTAGAGGCACACACCACCACACTCAGCTAATTTTTGTATTTTTAGTAGAGACGGGGTTTCACCATGTTGGCCAGGCTGGTCTTGAACTCCTGACCTCAGGTGATCCACCCACCTCAGCCTCCCAAAATGCTGGGATTACAGGCGTGAGCCACCATGCCCCGCCTTTATTTATTTATTTTTTCAGTTGCTTGTACTTTGGTATATCTAAGAAGGTTTTGCCTCATGCAAGGTCATGAAGATTTATTCCTACGTTTTCTTCTAGGAGTTTTATAGTTTTAACTCTTACATTTAGGTCTATAATGTATTTTGAATTAATTTTTGTGTGCAGTGTAAGAAAGGGGTCCCGCTTAATTCTTTTGCATGTGAATATTCAGCTGTCCCAGGCCATTTGTTGAAAAAACAATACCTTCTCCCATTAAATGGTCTAGGTACCTTTGTTGCAAATCAGTTGGTCATAAATGTAAGGATTTATCTCTGTACTCTATTTCATTCCACTGGTCTATATGTCTATCTTTATGCCAGTACCACACTGTCTTTATTTGTAGTAAGTTCTGAAATCAAAAAGTGTGAGTGCCCTGACTTTGTTGTTCTTTTTCAAGATTGATTTGGCTATTTTGGGTCCCGTGCATTTCCATGTGCTTTTCAGGATCAGCTTTCCAATTTTTGCAAAAACAGTAGTTGGAATTTTGAGAGGGGATATGTTGAATCTGATGAGTATTGCCATCTTAACAATGTTAAGTCTTCAGTTCCATGAACATGAAATACCTTTTTATGTATTTAGGTTACTAATTTCTTTCAACAATGTTTTGTAGTTTCCTTAGATATCTTTTTTTTTTTTTTTTTTTGAGACTGAGTCTCATTCTGTCGCCCTGGCTAGAGTGCAGCGGCACAATCAACCTCCACCTCCCACATTCAAACTATTCTCGTGCCTCATCCTCCCAAGTAGCTGGGACTATAAGTGTGCACCGCCACACCCAGCTTATTTTTGTATTTTTTGTAGAGAGGGGGTTTTGCCATGTTGGCCAGACTGGTCTCGAACTGCTGACCTCAGGTGATCTGCCCGCCTCAGCCTCCCAAAGTGCTAGGATTATAGGCATGAGTCACCACACCTGGCCTTGACTTATTTTGTTAAATTTATTTCTAAGTATTTTATTTTTTGATGTTATTATAAATGGAATTGTTTCCTTAATTTTATTTTCAATTGCTCATTGCTAGTGTATAGAAATACAATTGATTTGAATGTGTTGATCTTGTACCCTAATAACCTTGCTGAACTCATTTATTCACCCTAACAGATTTTAGTGGACTCCTCAGGATTTTCTATTTACAAGATCATGTAGTCTACAGAGGTAGTTTTACTTCTCCTTTCCAATCTAGATGACTTTATTTCTTCTTCTTGCCAAACTGCCCTAGCTAGAACCTCAAGCACATGTTGAAATAGAAGTGAAGAGAGAGGACATTCTTGTCTTATTGCAATCTTAGGGAGCATACCATGACTTTGAATGGGATGACTATGGTTTGTAAAGATGTCAATTTTTTCTCCCAACAATTTGTCTCACAATTCTAAATAGAATTACAGCTCATGTGGATGGATACAAAGTGAGAGTATAAGATCTTTGGGTGGAGATTTGCTCTTCTGTTGTAATAAAACATTTAAAAGGCAGCAATAAAACAGAATGATATAAATCTCAGTGAAAGAGAATATCGAGTTCAGACTGTCTACAAATATATATATATATGTATATATATATATATAAAAACTTATATGATAAACCCAATGGTTAAGGGATAGGGCTTTGCAATAAATATTGGGAAACTTGGATAGCTGTTGGGGGAGAGCAGGCTAGATATTCACCTGAAATCATTCACCAAAATGGTTGCTAGCAGGATTTAAAGAGAATAAAAGAACAAACAAAAATCCAAACAACTTAAAAACTTAAAAAAAACTAAATGAATATTATTGGACCTGTAAGTTTGGAAGCACTCAAGCTTAAAACAATGGAAGGAATTCAAGGATTTGATTATCTAATTTTATTTATTTATTTAGACAGGGTCTGAGCTCTGTCACCCAGGCTGGAGTGCAGTGGTGTGATAATGGTTCACTGAAGCCAGGATGTCCCGGGCTCAAGCAATCCTCCTGCCTCAGACCTACTCTAACCCCCTCAGTAGCCAGGACTACAGGCGTGCTATGCATGCCTAGCTAATTTAAAAAGAATTTTTAAAAAGAGACAGGGTCTTGCTATGTTGTCCAGGCTGGTCTAGAACTCCTGGGCTCAAGTAATCTTGCCTCGGCCTCCCAAAGCCCTAGGGTTACAGGCATGAGCCACTGCACTCAGCCTACCTAATGTCTTATATCAAAAACATATCTAGGCCGGGAGTGGGGGCTAAAACCTGTAATCCCAACACTCTGGTAGTCCGAGGGGGGTGGATCACCTGAGGTCAGTAGGTTGAGACCAGCCTAACCAACATGGCAAAACCCTGTTTCTACTAAAAATACAAAAATCAGCCAGACATGGTGGCATGCACCTATAGTCTTAGCTACTGGGGGAGGTTGAGGCAGGAGAATCACTTGAACCCCAGAGGTGAAGGTCGCAGTGAGCTGAGATCATGCCACTGCACTCCAGCCTGGGTGTCAGAGCAAGACTCCGTCTCAAAAAAAAAAAAAAAAAATTAAATTAAAAAATATCTGCAGTAAATATAAACAACAAAGTGCTATTCTTTTTCTTTTTCTTTTCTCTTTTTGAGATGGAGCCTTGCTGTCTCCCAGGCTGGAGCGCAGTGGCGCGATCTTGGCTCACTGCAAGTTCCACCTCCCGGGTTCACACCATTTTCCTGCCTCAGCCTCCCGAGTAGCTGGGACTACAGGCGCCCACCACCACGCCCGGCTAATTTTGTGTATTTTTAGTAGAGATGGGGTTATACCGTGTTAGCCAGGATGGTCTCGATCTCCTGACCTCATGATCCGCCCGCCTTGGCCTCCCAAAGTGCTGGGATTACAGGCGTGAGCCACCGTGCCCGGCCTTCTTTTTCTTTTGAGACAGGGCCTCATTCCGATGCCCAGGCTGAGGTGCGGTGACGTGATCACAGTTTATTGCAACCTCGACTTCCTAAGCTCAGGTGATCCTCCCACCTCAGGAGGCATGTGCCACCACACTCAGCTAATTTTTGTATTTTTTTTTTAGAGATAGGGGTTCGCCATGTTGATCAGGCTGATCTCAAACTCCTGGACTCAAGCCATCCTCCCTCCTCAGCCCCTCAAAGTGCTGGGATTACAGGCATGAGTCACTGTGCCTGGCCATGTTACTATTCTTAACATATAAAGTATTTGTACAAATAATTAATAAGAAATTAAGGCTTCAAAGAAAAATGAGCATAGAAAATAGGCAATTCAGAAAATAGACAATTCATTAAAGGAGGAAATACAAATGACTAATAACTGAAAAGAAGTTCAATCTCACTGGCAATCAAAGAAATGCAAATGAAACAACAAGGAGGCACAAGCTTTTGCCTTCAGCAAAGATTTCTAAGATGATAATTCATGCTCATTACTGCTTAGAGTGTGTTGAGATAGCTCTCGTGCTAACCCTATGAAGTAATTTCTTATTAGCAGGCCCATTTTACAGAGGCGGAAACAGACTCAGTAGGGTTCAGTAATTTGCCCATGCTTATACAGTTAGTAAGTGGTGGCACCAGGACTTAGACCTGGGCATGTGGTTCTGCTATAAAGAGGGCCTGGAAAATAGCTGCAGAAAGGTGAGGTAAAGAACAGATGGAAATGTAGCTGGAAGAGCAGGACAAATACATGTGAAGTGTCTACATGGAAAAGCCAATGGGCTTAGTGGTACTGAAGAGGGAGCAATGAGTGGAAGTTACACATATGTGGATGCTTTTCAAGCGAGAACTGTCTCCAGTGGACTAGAGAGGCCCAGGAAGGCGGTGAGGACACCCAGCCCTGGGGAGGCAGAGGAAACTGATGCTTTTGGGGTCTCGTTGTCTAACACTTATGCAGGTTGCTGCAGGGAAGAGGGGGGGATCTCATCTTCTAGAGGACGAAACACACCTTTAGATGGCCAAGACCTCAGTATCTGTTTTCGCTGTTTTCTGTTTCTGCTGTTTTCTGCTGTTTTCTCAACCACAGACAGCTAGCAGACCTGGCTTTTCCTTCTAGGGCCAGGCAATGTAGGGTAGGAGCCCTGGCTAGTTTTGTTCCCCTTCTATAGCCAGCCACAGTCCAGAGCCAGCAGGAAGCTTGAGCTTGCCAATCTGTGAGGGCCAAGGCAGGAGGAAAGAGATTCAGAGGGCAGGTGAGGCAGAGGAGCCATCTGAGTTCTCCCCGCCCTTTCCCCCTTTCCCGGTGCTTTGCTCCTCCTTGGTAGAGGAGGAGGGAGGGAGGAAGTGGGAGCAGTCACGTTGGAGAACAGGCAAACAGATGAAACAGAACCGCTAAAGGCGTGACCCATTTATGTTAGTTGAAGTTTAGTGATGATATTGTCACATGCAAAGTCCTTGAAGAATTCACTCTTAAAGTAGGGGGTTCATCCTGACTCTTGTAACCTTGGTTACCTCAAGCTTCATCTGTAAAATGGGTATGAGAACACTTCCTACTTTATTGACTTTAAATGGATCTAGTGCTTGGAAAACCAACAAGCTGGTGTGAGAGCAGAGTGCCACAGGCAGTAAAGCCACTCAGTCTCTGCAATTTTCCGATTGGAGACTTGGGGAAAATCACCCAAGCTCTTTCTGCTTCTGTTTCCTCATCAGTGAAACCAAGGGTAGCAATAGCACTTGCTTTAAATGGTTATCTTCAGGGTTAAACATGATTATGTGTGTGTGTGTGCGTGTGTGTGTGTGTGTGTATTATATGTATATAATTTTTCTTTAGTATACAGACTTATAGCCAAGAGTGATAATATATATAAAGTAAATGGTAGAACCAGGACTCCAAAGCTCACAGAGTTAATAATTATACTTTAGATGTCTCAAAAACCATAATGTATATAAAACAAACACATATAGTGTAAAGACTAGAAAGAAACACAACAAATTATTAACAGTGTTTATTTATGGATGGTTGGGTTATGATTTATTTTCATTTTTTCTTTCTTTTTTTGAGACAGAGTCTCACTCTGTTGCACAGGCTGGAGTGCAGTGGTGCGATCTTGGCTCACTGCAACCTCTGCCTCCCAGGTTCAAGTGATTCTTGTGTCTCAGCCTCCTGAGTAGCTGGGATTACAGGTGTGCCCCACCATGCCTGGCTAATTTTCATATATTCAGAAGAGACGGGGTTTCACTATGTTGGTCAGGCTGGTCTCGAACTCCTGACCTCAAGTGATCCTTCCGCCTCGGCCTCCCAAAGTGCTGGGATTACAGGCATGAGCCACTGCGCCTGGCCACATTTTTTATTTTTTTGAGACAGTCTCATTCTGTAGCCCAGGCTGGAGTATAGCAGCACAATCTGGGCTCACTGCAACCTCTACCTCCTAGGTTCAGGTGATCCTTGTGCCTCAGCCTCCCGAGTAGCTGGGACTACAGGCACCTGCCACCACACCCGGGTAGTTTTTTGTCTTTTTAGTAGAGGTGAGGTTTCACCATGTTGCCCAGGCTGGTCTTGAACTCCTCGTTTCAAGTGATCCACCAGCCTCGGCTTCCCAAAGTGCTGGGATTACAGGTATGAGCCATCCCACCTGGCTTGAGGTAAGAATCATCATCCCCATTATCCAGATGAAGAAATAAGGCCAAGAGAGGTTAGAGAGTTGGCTTAAACTTTGGGTTTCATAGCTACTAAGAGGCAGACAGCCAAGATCTGTAGGCAGATCTGGCTGTCTTTAAAGCTAGGTACTACCATCAGGGATGCTGGACCATGGGGCTGGTGCCTAGGACTTCCCCACCCCAGTCTTCTGATGAAAGAGTTAAGGTGGGAGGCTGTGAGGACTGGGCCTGTGCTGGGTGTGCTCTCATGGGTCTCCTCTGCCTACTCTACTGGTTTCCTAGGTTCATATTTCCAGTAGAGGACATAGCCTGAAAGGTGGACAGTCGATGGGTACTGTGGAGTCTCCCTAAGAAGAAATACATGTTTCTCCTGTTAGGTATCCTATAGAGCAGGGGTTCCCAACCTTTTTGGCACCAAGGACCAAAATGTAAGTTTCCACAGACTGAGGGTGGCAGGGATGGTTTCAGGATGATTCAAGTGCATTACATTTACTGTGCACTTTATTTCTCTTATCATTACATTGCAATATATAATGAAGTAATTATACAACTCACCATAATGTAGAATCAGTGGGAGCCCTGAGCTTGTTTTCCTGCAACCAGATGGTCCCATCTGGGGATGGGAGACAGTGACAGATCATCAGGCATTAGATTCTCATAAGAAGTCTGCAACCTAGATCTCTGGCATGCACAGTTCACAGTAGGGTTTGTGCTCCTAGGACAATCTAATGCCACGGCTGATCTGACAGGAGGTGGAGCTCAGGCAGTAATGCGATAGGAAGCGGCTGTAAATTCAGATGAAATTTCACCAGCTAGCCCCCACCACCGCTCACCTCCTACCATGCAGCCCAGTTCCTAACGGGACATGGAGGGTTACCAGTCTGCGGCCCAAGGGTTGGGGACCCCTGCTATAGAGGAACTAAAAATGATAGCGTAACTACACAAGATTGAGGGATGGAAGTGGGTGTGAGCCAGCTAAATCATTATCTATCATAGGAGAAAGGCCACAGACAGTGGCCAGTGCTGATAAATCCAGATGTAGCTATGTGAGCATCTTAATGTAATGATGTGGAGGTAACCATCAGACCTGAAAACACCAGTGGCTTTAAGTGGTATCCCTGGTTTGAAGGATGGAGAGGGAGTTCTTGCTTTTCATTGCAAGCCCTTCTGTCCTATTTGATTTTTTTAAAAAAGCTGTGTGTATTATTTTAAAATTATTATTTTAAAAATACAGGCTCTGAAAGTTAAAAACAAAACAAAACAAAACAGGCCCTGGGGGCATCTAGTGGATTCACAACCCTCCCCCATCTAAGCTGACATTTCATCTTCTGGAAAATAGGGATAAAAGCCATACTCACCCCACAGAGTTGCTCTGAGGATAAAATGAGGTAATGCATATAAAAGCACACAGACCACAGTTGGCTGAAATTCAGCATCTATAATTACTAAACATCGTTATTATCAATAATAAACTAAGTGTACGTAATACTCAGGCCCTGGCACATAGTAGGCACTTCATAATGGGTGGAAGTAGTTATTTAACCCCCCACCAGGGCCTGTAATTTCCCCCAACCCGTGACACACTGGCCCCAAGGCTCCGAGTGAACACTTAAATATTGATGTGGTTACTCATTTATTCATCACTCAGCTCTCCGCCACAGAATCTGAGGAGGGTCAGCCCCGCTCTCGGGCCTCCCGCGCCGCGGCCTGGCCGCATCCCGGCCCCCTGCGCCGGGAAAGGTTGGAGGCGGCGGCAGCTCACTCTTTTCCAGGTCGCCGATGCGGGACCGTCACGTGGCGGGGCGGCAATCGCTCCGGTTTCTCTCTGGCATTTTCCCGGGCAGGGGCGGACTGGAGGAGGGGAGAGCGCGGCCCAGGGTCAGGGGAGCGGCGGGGGTCCCTATCACCCCAAGTCCGTGCCAAGAGGCTGGCCATCCCAGGGGCGGCGGGCCGGGACCCTTTTAGGGCGACGGCTTTCCAGAGCAGGGACTTTTAGAAGGGACGTGGGATTGGCCTGGAGGCGCAGAGCGGTTTTTTGTACCTGGCCGCGGGTGTTGGGTTCCCCACAGGCGAGGCCGTGTTGCTTCGGGCCCCCAGCCAGGGGCGGGCCACCGCGGGAACTCCGCCCACCCTCTGCAAGAGGGCGCGCGGCCGCCCCTCCCGCTCCGGGCGGGTCTGCGGCTGCCTGGGCGCGACGGCGTCCCCGACATCCCTGTCGCACGCCACGCGTCGGGGCGGCCGGCGCGGGGCGGGAAGGAGGGCGGGGCGCTGACGTCGCGTGCGCGCCCCCGGCCCGCGGCACCAGGTGGGGGGGGAGGCGGGGCCGGGTCGGCCCGGCCCAGCCCAGCCGGCAGCTGCGGCGGCGCTCGGAGTCGGTTCCTGACCGCCTTCTGCCGCGGCCGAGTTTGTCACCAGGTCCCGGGGTCTGCACCCGCTCGGCCAGACCTCGCCCGCCGCTTCCCCGCCATGGCCCTGGTGCGGGGCGCGGAGCCGGCGGCGGGGCCTTCCCGCTGGCTGCCCACGCACGTCCAGGTGACCGTGCTGCGGGCCCGCGGGCTGCGGGGCAAGAGCTCGGGCGCGGGCAGCACCAGCGACGCGTACACCGTGATCCAGGTGGGCCGCGAGAAGTACAGTACGTCGGTGGTGGAGAAGACGCACGGCTGCCCCGAGTGGCGTGAGGAGTGCTCCTTCGAGCTGCCGCCCGGTGCCCTGGATGGCCTGCTGCGGGCGCAGGAGGCCGACGCGGGCCCGGCGCCCTGGGCCGCGAGCTCTGCCGCCGCCTGCGAGCTGGTGCTCACCACCATGCACCGCTCGCTTATCGGCGTCGACAAGTTCCTGGGCCAGGCCACGGTGGCGCTGGACGAGGTCTTCGGCGCAGGCCGCGCCCAGCACACGCAGTGAGTAGGGGGCGCGGGGGCACAGAAACGGCTAAAGGCCTAACTGGGCGGGGCTGGTGGGGGATCAGGACCCTGAACTTCCGCCGGGCGGGTGAGCCCCTTGCCTCGCGCTCAAGGTCGTAAACCGACAGACACGTTGGTTCTTCGCATTTCGGGGTCGCCTTCATGCTCCCCAAACGTGCGCTGTGTGCGGCTCCGCCGCTAGTGGTCCCTGAGAGGCCTGGGGGAGGTTCAAGTGGTGGCGAACGTTGGGAGTAGATTGTCAAGTAAAGTTAGGAATGAGATTCAGAGGCTTTGGGGCTATGGAAACCTCAAGAAGGGAAATCTTGGGGCCATTCTTAGAGCCTCCGGGCCTACCTCCCTTTCCTCAAAGGGGAGGGGAACTGCGGGCGCCTGTCCGGCAAGGGAGTGGAGAGGCACAGACTTGCCCTGCGGGGGAAGGAAGGCCAGGTGTCTTTCTCCAGGGCGAGGTTGAATGTTGATTACCCCGCTAAACGTAGAAGCTGGCTGCAGAGGGCATCTGCTTCTTGCCTGGCTCTCAAGATGCCCTCCACTATCTAGAGATGTCACCCCCCCCCATCCTTTCTCTCTGTGTCCTGTGTCCCTGGTCTGAGGGCAGGAGGAGCTCCTAAGCAAAGAAAGGAAACACTTGAGTCAGCCTTCCAGTGGCCTGCCTGCCCTGCCCTGCCTGAGGTAGGAGGCAGCGGCATGGTTAATGCACAGCAGGAGATTATCTCCCGGTCATTTCCACCTCAATGGGCCAGGTTTTGTTAAAAATCATTTATTTTGGCAGCATTTAACCTTGCCTGTGTTAAGATCAAGGCTTCAGCCTTGGAGCCCCATTTCCTGTTTTGGGCTTGGGCAGGAGCTGGAAGCCAGTCCGGGGGCTGACAGCCTGCTGTGGATCACTCAAGTGGTTAACTTGGGAGTGATCTGGGTAGGAGGGTAAGGGGATTGGGGCAGGACTGTGCCTTAGGTCAGGAGAGGTGCCGCAAACGTTTGCCCTGGTGGAATGGCATCCACTGAGTGAATAAATCCAGGAAGGCTTGCAGGAGGAAGGGGATGAGCCTGATGCAAACCCAAATGAAAGCAGGATTTAGGTAAAAAGGATCTGACCTTGAATGTTTTCCGAAACATGGGTGTGAAATGACCTTCCTGGCTGTCTCTCTGTGGCCTGGGATGAGGAGGGCATTAGTGCAGGGCAGGTTCCAGGCGTGGCTGTGACTTAACTCCATCTCCCCATCCCCTGGCCTGCTCCCCTCCTTCCTTCATGACTTGCTGTTTGGTGGCTGGGTGTGGAATCATGTGGTATAGCTTGGACCTTGTTTTGTTTTTTTCCTCCTTTCTGTCCTCTCCCTCCTTCCTGGTTCCTGGAGCCCAACAGGGTGGGTATATGGGGCGAAAAGCTCTCCCCTGGATCTCTTAGCCCATTCTTTTTCAGAGGAAGTGCCTGTCCCCCAAATCATCCCACCCCTTCCCCCAGTCCTTCACCCTCCACCAATCAGCTACTCTGACCAGACTGGTAGATGACACATCTGTTCGGGGGGGTGCTGGGGGAACAAGAGGAGGCAGACCAAAAAAAGGCTCCAGGCCTGCAGGGAGCAGCTTCTTTGATTGTTTTTTCCAGTTCCTGCCCATGCTTTCCTCTTGGCCTCTGGATCTTCCTTAGCTGAGCTGGCCAAGCCTGTAGGTCCAGGTGGACTCGTTTTCAGCCAAGAACAGCCTGTCTTGGAGAATTTGACTTACCACCCCTTGATCTGAATGGGAGCCTTAATTTACTTTATAGAAATAATCTTTTCCACCAGGATCTTTCCACACGCACCTGGCTGTTTTCTCTGATGCTATGACCTGGTTTATTTCTAGAACTGGGAGGGAACAGGAGTGGGGAGGCTCACTTAGGGTGGGCAGAGGAAAGTATGTGAAGTTGGCCTGGTGCTCTAGTTTACTGGACCTAACACAATGCCCACTGACAGAGAAGGAGGGCTGTCACCCCTGCTGTGGTCCCCACCTCTGGCTCTAGTGGTCATTCCTGGTGGTATTTCCTGGAGCACCCTGCTGTGGGCTACCGAGACTGAGTCTGAATGCTGCCTGGTAGAGAGAGGGCAAAGCAGAGAAGACCAGGGTGTACCCTCCTCAGCTTTGGATAATGGTGAAAAAGAAAAGTATCTATTCCTTAACTCCAGGAGTTGGCTGCGGTGGTATCAGGCAGGGCAGATGGTGGCCCTTTGCCAAGAGAGGACCTGACTGGGGAAGGTACCTTCATGGTTGGGAAGGGGCTGCAGAGTGGCACTGGACAGATCCCAGTCCCAAAACTGCCACCTGTGGCAAGTCATATAAACTCTTGGTGCCTCAGTTTTCACATCTGTAAAATGGAGATAACTTATATCTTCATAGGGTTGATGTGAGGGATGAAATGAAAATGCAACTTAAGCACCTAGTACAGTCCCTGTACATGGTGAGTGGTCAATGCAGAGCAGTGATGGTGAAGGGAGGTTTTGGTAACAATGTCTGGAAGAGCTTCTTATGGGATGGGGGAGACAGTCTAGAACTTAGAGCCTAGGAAAGCCTCAGAATCATGGGTGATGGAGTACACAGAAGAGTACGAGAGTTCCCAGCGAAATGAGCTGGCCCTTTGCAGCTCTCTGCATTCTATTTGCTGCTAGAGGCTCAAGAACTAGGGCTGGGCTTGAAAGGCCTCTGCAGTCCTGAAGCCAGGCTCAGATAAGCCCTGCAGCTCTGCAGCTCTCCTCCCTGGCAGCCCTGTCTGGAGCTGCCCCTGCCCTGTTGGGAAGGGAGGATGACCCAGGGCTTAAAAACCTGGAGACTGGGGTTTCATTCTCAGTTCTGTGACTTACCAGCAGGCAGGTTACTTATCCCACTTCCTCACTTCTAAAAAAGTCATGATGATGATCATAGAGTTGTACAGATTAGATAAGACACCATCTGTAAAAGCCTTAATGTAGTTCTGGATACATAGAAGCTCTCACAATATTAGCGTGGTGGTGACTCTGGGGCCCTGTTTTGTGTGATGGTGGTGGCTGGGGTGGTAGGTGCTTTAGCAGCCTCCGAAGGTCTTGTGTCAGTGGGGCAGTCTTTGAAATGAGGAATTTCACCAGAGGCTTCCAAATAATTGAAGAGGATATTCTCAAAACAAAATGGAACGGTAGTACACAAGGAAACTAATGATCTCCCCTCCCTCAGTAGAACTGTCCATGGATCGTCATGTTCCTGTGAGTCTGGAAATCCTGGATGCTTCTCTGTGATTTATTTTCTGGTTTTTACCTTTTTTTTTTTTTTTTTTTTTTAAGGAGTCTCACTCTGTTGCCCAAGTTGGAGTGCAGTGGCGGAATCTTGGCTCACTTGCAATCTCTGCCTCCCAGGTTCAAGTGATTCTCCTGCCTCAGTCCCCTGAGTAGCTGGGATTACAGGTGTGTGCCACCACACCAGGCTAATTTTTATATTTTTAGTAGAGACCAGGTTTCGCCATGTTGGCCTGGCTGGTCTCAAACTCCTGACCTCAGGTGACCCACCTGCCGTGGCCTTCCAAAGTGCTGGGATTACAGGCATGAGCCACCACGCCTGGCCCAACATCCTTCTTAGCACTCCCCAGTGGGTATCCTGTGTTTGTCTCCCTGACTCCCAAGACAGGGATGGGATGTGGTAGTTAGTTCTCCTTGTTCCTTGTGGGGTCAGATGGGTCATTTGGACCTGTCTGGCCTTTATGCAATTGGTGTGGATCACACCCTCAGGGAGTGGACCTGAATATATCAGAAGAGGGAAGGAAGGAAGCAGCAGCAAAGGTTTTGGAGTAAGAAGACAGGGCATCTGCCACAGGGCCATTTTGCTTGGGGAGACCTGGTCTTTGCCCTGGAATGCTGGTCTTTGTGTGTTTTAGGAGAGGAGGAGGAGAGAGCACAACTGTGTTATATGGAGCCCCTGTCCACCTTCTCCCTCATCCTGATAAGGGTGAAATGGTCCCTGTGGTAAGGCCTGGAGTGTGGCAGACAGGATCATCATCCTGGGCCTGTTGGATCAATGGTTAGAGGCTGGCCTCTTGGGAACTTGGGTTGGGATCAGTTTGTCTTTTTTCATCACAAAGACTAGAACTGTTGTGACCATGAATCATGGCCTGCAAGAGGCTCCATTCAGGCCCTGCTTAGACTGTGCCACTTGGCAAGGGAGCTCAGAGACCTAAGGCTGTGAAGGATGTAGGTCTGAGATGAGAGCCTTCTGCCTGGCTGGTCATGGTGTTCTGAGACCTCCTTAGGTGGGTGGGTTTGGGGGCACTAGGAGGCACCTGAGGGGACATGCAT